GAGGTTCACTGCTCTGTGAAAGACTGTGTGGGCAAACAGTGCAACAATTTAAGAATAATGTTCCTCAACATAATACTGCAAAGAATTTGGGAATTCCATCATCTACGGTACATAATATCATTAAAAGTTTCAGAGAATCCTCTGAAATCTCTGTATGCAAGGGTCAAAAACAAATATTGGATAGCCGTGATCTTTGGGTCCTCAGGCGGCACTGCATTAAAAACAGTATTCTATTTTGTAAATCACTGCTGGCATCAAACTGAGCACATATTTGTCATAAAACAATAACATTTCTCAGTTTCAACGTTTGATATATTGTTTTTATTCTATTTTCAATTAAATATGGGTTTATATGATTTGTAAATCATTGCATTCTCTTTTTATTTAAGTTTTACACAGCGTCCCAACTTTTTCGGAAATGGGGTTGTATTATAGAACTATATTTTTCGTCATTAATCGTATTAAAAGGATGTTGATCTAATCATGTTGTCATGCTGACACAGCTGTTAAAATGTAAAACGTGGAAATAACATTCTATTAATGTTACAGTATGAAAGTTTTCGGGCAACTTTGAGAGGACCTTCACATAACATTGGCTAAAGTTTTGGGAATGTTCCTTGTTAGCTGGGTTGCTCCCAAGACCTTGATGTGATCAAATGGGTCATCATCCTCTGGCCGACTCACTGTTATCGAAGCAGATCCTGCCGATGGCACGTCCGGTGTGCAGCAGCAGCTCCTGGTCTGAGCTCTTCAGCAGGGGCAGTAGGGCAGTCACGAGGCCGGCCTCAATGCAGCGCTCTCGTACCGTGACTGAATGGGCCAGAAAAATGTTCCGAGGTCCCTCAGTGGTCCAAACCTCAGTACTGTCCCTCACTGCTGGCTGACTGGCACTCCTCCCTCCGTTGCATCACGGATTGCACAAGCCAGAAACCTCTCTCATGTTATTTAATGCTGTGCTGCTGGAAAATGCAGGTCACGTCCACTGCTCTGTGATACCTGCCAAGACCATACAGCCAACTTGCCAGTCAATCACTGGCAGTGATTTTCTGTTTCAGAGCAATTTCAGATCTGTGTCACCAGGGAAAGCTGGTGACATGTCATAGATTGGTGACAGGCAGAGTAAGTGCCTTTTTTAAATAACAAGAAAAGGACATGTACCATCATAAAATGTATTTTATAGAGCAGAATCTATTAATGTATTATGAATGCATTAGTCAAACTACCATCCAACTTCTAAAAGTCCTTCCATTTCATAAGCGCTTATCCTGATCAGAATCAAGTTTGTTATTTTACTATGTTTTCCTGCATCTATTTTACTTTAGAAAATTCTGCATAAATAAGCAGTTTAAGACTTGTGGTTAAAATCTAACTGTGCATTACTCTTATTTGTAACCTCAACAAAATTTATTTGTAAAAATATTCAAATAATTGATCAATATTTACTAGGGCTGTCAAAATTAACGGGTTAACACGGATTAATCCATCATCATGATTAATCTGATAAAAAATTTTAACGCAATTAACCCATCTGCAGCGCAGAATGACTCAAAATCCCTGAAATGTCTCTGTCAACCCATTTCGGGCAGTTTTAGTGCGTTCCATTTGCCCTCAGAACTCGTATTCCGAGTCCGATTCCTAGTTTTGAAGCCGGAAATGACAGCATGCACGCTCCCATTTCTCGGAGATCCGGGGAATATCTCGGAGCAGCACAGAGGATCCCGAGTTCAAAATCCAAGATGGCTGCGCCCTTTATCAACAGAAGGGAAAGTTGTAGTTTTATACTGTTTAAGCACTACTTCTCATTTGTGGCTCATTAAATCGGTCGTATCTGTGGACGTGTTGTTACGGAGTTTTATACGTAAAGCACCGCGTGTAATATGTTATCAACTGATATTGCTAACAATGGCAATTAACCGGGCTAGAACTGGATTTCACGATTAGTCGGATTATTTGTCGGATTTACGGTAGTTCGGGCTAATTGTAAGTGAACGGAGATAAAGACCATTTAAACTGAGGTACCTTAAATCCGACAAGTTGTCCGGCTAAGCAATAAATCTTTGCTTTTTTATTCTTAAATAAACATGTTAAGTGCATATATATTCCCTTTTTTCTTGAGTCTGTTTGCTCTTGCAAAGTAAAAGGATTAATGATATTTAATCGTGATTAATCTAAATTAATCCACAGCAACCCTATGATTAATCTGATTTCAAATTTTTATCGTTTGACAGCACTAATATTTACTAAACAAACCCAAAGGACTATGAAATTTTGTTTTGTGTCACACTGTTGCTTTTCAGTTATCAGTAAGTCACCCATTAAAGAGGATTATCTGTACAGTGAAAAGTGGAAAATTCTCCACCCCACAAACACAGAGGGATAATAGTGAGTTTGTTCATTGTACTTTTCTCTTTGTCTGACACTTTAACGCCTGCGAGAAGAGGGGAAAAATGGGTTTCATGTACAATGCTGACACATGCGAGAGGCAAAAGAAGTGCAGGCTGGTATGAATATTAAACCAATACTATCTCCTTTGTTTGACAGGCCCTGGATCTCGTCAACCCTGCACAGAAGTGTGTATAAAAAATAGATGGATGGATAGATTCATGGATGGATGAAAGATCTCATTTGTTTTGTGCAAATGGTCTAGCACATTTTTTTGCTAAGCTTGAATGACAGGGTTTATTTCAGGTCTTGTCCCTCAGACCGGTCAGAGTGGCAATACCTAGCATGAGATGTCAGAGACTTTATGGGTAATCCTGTGCACCTGCCACACCACGCAGGCTGTCGGTGATGCCCTCACCTTCCCTGGCCAACTCGGCCACCACCAGGGTCACCTGTGACATGAGGAGGCTCTTCTTACTCAACGTCTGCGCCAGTGACGGAAGAATCCCACTGGCAGCTATCTGCTCTGGGGCTCCATTTCCTGTAAAACGCAGAGGACCCCTTAGCTGCCCTTGTATTTGCCTCCTTAAGAGAAAAACGAGTGTCACACAGTCATGGGAAGTAAGGCTGCTTATCTCCACCCCCCCCGGCTTGCCAGTTAAGCAGGTACGCAGCCGTGAGATGAATGCAGATGAAGCAGCTGCCAGCATCACTACTTTGAACCGAGAAGATCAAAAGGCCAACCCTCCATCAACCTGCGGCAAATTTTCCAGCCAGCTGCTGACATTGTCTCCCCATCTGACTTTTTACTGGTGTGTGGGATGCAGAGAGGAGACACCGCTGCTCCCTTTCTCAGCAGCTGGCGTAGCACTGGCTGTCCTGGACGTGAGGAGCCCAAAATAAAGGAGAACAGGCCGGGGCGGGACTTTCAAGGGAGCTCAGCGAGTAGGGGGACAGCGGCAGATGGCAACCATGACACTGGGCCAAAGGGAACGCTGACGTTATTGGAAGTTTTTCTCAAAATTGTCATCCGGCACTGAGGAGGCAGCTAAAGCTGTCAGCGCAGGCCTCGTTGCCATGCCAACGTCCCCTTACTCAGGAATGGGACGTCGAGTGGCTCGTGGCACTTCAGGATGACATCGACGTTGGCCTGTCCGCATTGAGAGGGGGACTAATTAACACACTTAATGAAATGAAACCCATTACAGGCAAACGTGTAATTTCACGCTTAAGGCTTCCCCGGCTTCCTGGTTATTTATACCCTTTAGCATCTGGCCTGATGATGGTGTGTGTTTTAAGTATTTCATCCCTACTTTACTTTTAGAAGCAATGCAGGGCTCATAACAGGCCGGAATGCAAAGAAATGCTTCGTAACTATTCTGCATAAATAGCGTCTTTTTCCTAAACACAGATTCACAGGCTTCCGCAGTGAGCAACAGCTGTTTATATATGCATGTTCGCAGGTCATTGCGATTGAGCCTAAACCTTATTGGGAACATAACGGCCTCGCTACCTAAGTTGACTCTTACTGAAGTCATCTTGTCTTCATTGGCTTCTGGGTACATTTTCCTTTTCAGGTCTGTTATCCCAAAAAAATGAGAATATTAACTTCAGTGGAAGCATAAGTGACAGCCATTGAACCATATGGGCTAATATAATGCACCTACCCCGCCACCCTGACCCCATGCCTTGTGTCCTGCTGGTAAAGCTTGTTCCACCCCAGAATTATAGATTTCCAAACCACAGCACCGCATACACATTCACATCAGAGTGTCCGTGTGTATCTGCGTGTGGGTGCCCGTGCACGTGACGCTGCATCGCCTTTAGTGAGGCTAATCCGTCCAGGCACTCAGAGCATATACTCGAGACAGACATGAAATCGGATTATCGTCTCTGTCCTCCCAATCTACTGCCTGGCTGCTTTTCTGGCTGCTCACTTCCAGCCCGTATTTCCTCCAAATTCTAATCAGGATACAGTGGCCCCATTGGAACATTCCCAGATAAGTGCTGTACACTCTTTGGGGTTTTTTTAACAACACTGTGGAAATAACTTCTGAGAGAAACATGCTGCTCCCTTCTGCATCCAGCTCCAAGCGGAAACTGACCCAAAACTCTTATTCAAAAGCCCACTGAGCCGCAGAGCCCCTGGTGAGTGTATCTCATGGGGAGGGCAGGAGGGGGCGTCTGTTTAATGTGACCCGTGGCCTCTTTGCAGGACACTCACGCTTTTCTTGGAGTGCAGTAAGCAGGATGTCCAAATGAGGCTTCAGCTCCTCATCTATGAGTTCGGTGCTGACAGAGATGGCTTTGAGGGCGTCAGTCAGGGAGTCTGTAACAGAGAAGGGAGTATGTTCACGGCTTCAGATCAGCCTGTTACGGATCCCAGCCCAGAAGGATTCCACTTCTGCTTATCTACACAAGAAGCTTTCAGGGGACCAATAACTCAGAAGTCTAAGGAAAATTAGCGGATAGGCAGCAGGGCTAATACCAACATCACAGGGACTTGTGCCAGTAGCATTAGTAGGCTGGTAAAGCAAAAGTCATCTGAACCTTCTCTGGAGAACATTCTGGCAGTTCAGCCCCAGCCTGAGGGCTAATCTATCTTGACAAAAATGGCATTATAGCCATTATCTTAATCCCAAATGTCTCATTCAGTTGCTCTATACATTTTGCATTGTGCCTGGAATATTAAACAAATACATAGATAAGTGACTCGCAGACGAGATTGATTCTAGCGCTTCAGGGGAGGCAGATTGGCAGGAGATTGAGATCAGACCTGGGCCCTGTGCCATAGTGCTGGCACTGAGCATGCTCAGTGACAGACCTGGGCCCTGGGCCATATGCTGCATTCTATTTACCTTGGAGGTCGGAACTCGGAACTGGGAATGACACACGAGTTAATAGCGTTCCAGTAAAGCAAGTCGAAAGTCATTTAGCGATACCAGGCACCTGTTTTAAAAGGCAAGATTTCTTGCTTTCCCGGATAACTTGTTGGATTTCATTTACCCCAGTTTAAATGGCCTTTATCTTCGTTGACTTACATTTAGCCCAGACTTCCTTATATCCGACAGGTTATCCAGCTAAGCAAGAAATCCTGCTTTGTGAAACAAGCCCCAGTTCTAGCCTGGTTAATTGTTAGTTATCGTTTGCAATATAAGTGGATAGCAACACATTACGTGGTATTTTGCACATAAAAACACCACAGCGACACGTCCATAGATAGCGGTTGGATAGTACTGTGTGTACGGCCGACTTCATGAGGCACAAATAAAACATAAGTGCGAAAAAACAGTATATGGAATCGAGTTCAAATAGAATGCAGCAATATGATGGTATTGAGCATGCTCAGTGACAGGCTTGTAGCTGTCATGTAAAAGTACTTTTTCACTCTTAAGTACCTTAAGGCCCTTAAGTACCTGCTGCAAATGAGGCAGACTAAGTGTCAAGGGTCCTGAAAAGTGTAAAACATACCATGTTGACCCAAATATAAGACGGGATTTTTTTTTCCACAAAATACACCTGAAAACGTGGTGTTGTCTTATATTCAGGGTCTAGACAATAAAGAGAATTGATGGCGGCAAATATGATATTTCGTACCGAATGTTTTCACGTACCATAATATAGATTTGCCATAAGATTTCTTGCATGAGTAAGAGTCTAAAAGTGTGAGTGTCACGCCAGATGTGTGAGAGCTGGCAGCCAAGGCGAAGTGCGTGTTTGGCCTGTATCCCAGCGTCGTGTGAATTGTTGGCTTCCCTGGCTGTGCTGCTGCAAGTATTAAACTGATAGTGGCTGTTAATAAAGATATTAACATTCATTTTTAAAGAACTGTCATATAATTTATTAATACATGGCTCAAACTTTCTCTGCAAGCATTTCTCTTTTTTTTATTCCTCTTCATGTGGGTCTGCTGCATCGAAAACATCCTACGCCCTGAAGTTTGTAATATTCAGCATCTACATTTGTTTTTGGAATGTTTGCTGTGTAGTACACTAAATAATAATAAAATTATTTTTCTTTATAAAGGCAAGATTTGGCATTGCAAAAACTTTTTTACTAATAATGGTTGCCAAAAAGCAGGGTGTCATCTTATAATAGGGGTTGTCTTATATTCGGGTCGATACTGTAATTGGATTGATCTGGGTCGGGAGCCCAACTTGATGAGCTTTTATGGGGCCCAGAATCTCTCGCAGCACCCCTGTCTACATTTGCAGCTCACTGGGGAAGCTGGGAAAGTGTTGCACCTTAATTAAAGTGCAAATTTTACAGTACTTTACACATTATAGCTGAGAAAAACAATGGATTTGAAGTAATTCTAAGAGAATTATTTCACTTCATTAAAGTAACTAGATTATTTACGTAGTTGAATGCTTTAACCCTTAGTCCATAAAAGGCACACCACAATAATTCAGATATTGAAAAAGAACATCACAGGAAACAGGAAAATGGGGCAAGGATTTCTCATCTGCATTTACTACTTACAAATAAAACCTAAACAAGGTTTTCCATGCGAGTTGACACATTTTAAGATCTCCCTGGGACACAACAACAGACGCACAAAGATGCTTTGAAAACATTACATGGCAGCTGGCCATTTCTGCATGGATTGTTGAAGTACACATCAACTGTAGAGATGGGGATCTGACTGAATCCCATTCTGTGGCCAAGGCCTTATCTATAACAGATTAATCTGTGTGCAATGTAGAAGCTCTCTGACGATCCCCTATGCCAGTGTTTCCCCGTCTGGTCCAATTTTGCTGCCTACCGGCTCCTGTTAGAGCAACAACATGGACTGTTAGTGGGTCCCTGAGAAATGGATTGGGGAACACTAGTAAATAGACAATCCTACAGATTATCTTCTTGGGCTCTTCCAAGAAAAAGCACAGCATTCTCTGCTAAGTTCACCTGTAATTATTAACACCAAACATCTCAAAGAAAAAAGCCAGCCACAAAAAAGGGTTAGAAAGGCACTGAGGTTAGCCAGATACAGACCACAACCTTGACTACAGTATGTAGGATGCTGTTAAATGTTAAATAATACACTGTAGTTCCCTTGAAAGTGAATAATAGGATATAGCATCTTTCTTTAAACTATTGAAAATTAATGTCTAATAACCACTTATATGGGGTTATTATAAGGCAGATGCAGCACAGATTATATGATAGGGTGCACACTGGATCTCAGCTGCATGTGTATGAATTTGGGGAACAGTATCGGCATTATCACCCTTGGCAGGATTCAATGCTGAAGGTCAAGAGATTTACTTACGTTTTCGTTAGAATGACGCACGCCTGATGGTGACTTTAGTTAAGCACCTAATTGAAGCCTACAAGCCTTAAGTTTTATACAACAGCCCTAGTGTACGAGGGTACGGCTCCTTGATAGCTACGACGATCAGCTGCGATCTGAGCGCTGAAATGAGCCGCCTCTGCATCTTCATGCTGATTCCTCCCTCATCCCCCCTTCTGCTTTTGCCCCGTTTACCCCGTAGTTTGTAAGGCTTATTTATTGATGCTGGTCTTTCTTCAGCGAGCTGTCCCTGTTTATGTTTCCCACACGATCTATTTCTTTTTCTCACTGGTCCCCCTTCCTAGGTTATGGGTTGTAAAAGACACAGAACCTGCACATCGTAGGACCTGGGAGCAGCAGATCACGGGACCCGGAACGAGCAGGCCAAGGACCCAGAGACAGCACATCAGCTAACACTTCAGGAATTCTTAGCTGCCCAGTATGTGAATCATTTAGAATCAATCTGGAGAACCTTAAATATAATGTATCATTTAATATTAATAATGACAATCATGACCCCCTGTCATCAGTGGCAGTGGGATGAACAATACAAGCATGAAGAAAACAAGCCTTAGAATAAATAAAATAAACAGCGTCATCAGCAGTCACAGACATCACAGTAATAACCATTTCGACAGAAAGGTTACAAACCTATAAATGAGGGGCCAGTCTCCCATTGTCACCGATAGACACACCGAGTCCCCCCTGTGTCCTATAGACCAGAGCCGGAGGTTTCAGACTCCCTCATTTTTGTGCAGATAACCAGCGGTTAGGGAACACTCAGATATTTCAAACCTGAAACTGTATTTTCAGTCCCAGATACTGATTTCTAAACAACTGAAGGGATTTTAAAGGGAAGATCATTTTTCTTGCATTGCTCGTTGTTCCTTTGTTGTACTTTTGCCCCTGGCAAAGTCAAAATCATCTTTCTTCATCACCCACCAACTCACAGGGTTAGAGAGCGAAAGCATCCCTCTTGGAGCGAGGCAGAACCCTGTTAAAGGACACAGAGCATGGGGAGGTGGCAGGGGTAATCCCCAGTAAGCAGTATGGGAATAGACTCTATAGGGCGGGTCAGCGTACCGTGAGGATGAAAGGTTCCCCTCACACACCCCGTGCCTCCCAGCCGAGTGCTGACTGCCCCTTGGGGGATCCCCACATCCCACACCATCCAAGACAAGTTTGTTTTTTTAGCAGTTCCTGTGAGTCACACTCGGCTCCCCGCTCAGCCTCAGCCTGATGGTGGGACTCCAGTTGTAACCTTTATCCCTGTGAAGTTCCTCAGATTGACCTTTAAATACTGGAAAAGCTTCGGTTCCCCCAGCATCCATTCCAGTCCCAGCACATGCCTCTCCCAGCCTGGCATTGCCCAGGCATCCCAGAACAGAAACAAGACCAGACACAAAGGGTCTGTGGAAAGGCACCCTACTCACCCATGATGCAGCCACCTCCTGTCCCTCGGTGAGAGTGCTCCCGGCGTGTCCTGCTGTTTGTTGGCTGCTGTTGTTTGTATGCCTGTGTGTATATGTGTGTATTTGAGAGAGTCCCAGCAGAGGCAGTGGGCAGCCTTCAGGCCAAGTACGCTCTCTCTCCCAGATCCACTCCTGCCAGCTGAACTGTCAGCATCTGCTGCTGTCGTGCTGTTATGTCGACTACAGGCTCTGCCTGTCCCTCTCTCTCTCTCTCTCTCCCTCCCTGTTTTCTGTGCCTCTGTCTTCCCGCTTTTAAGTGCCTGTCTCTCTGTTTCCCACTTTCACTGGTCTCTCTCTCCCTCTCTAACTGTTGCTATCACCTCTTGCTCACCCATCCCAGCTTTATCACTCTCTCTCTCTTTCGCTCTCTCCTTCTCTCTCTCCTCCCTCTTGCTCTGCACCATCGCACTCTAAATCCCAAATCTCCCTAAAGCTCCTCAGCTCCAGCAATCACACTCTTGAAAACAGAGACTGAAACCCAGCACCTGTCAGAGAGCATCAGCGACCAGATGGGCTTACATGGAGGTGCCCTTTCCTCTACGAGTTTTACTGGGTGTTGAATCAAGACCCTGCAGCTAGTTCCTGCTGGATGGATCCAGGGTTATGATCATCTATGAGGCTTGCTGTTGAGGCTAGAAACTGTAGCCAAATCTAGCAGGATGGCTCAGTGGGTTCTGTCGCTGTCTCACACATCCAGGACTGCCAGTTTGAACACCCTCACTGATGTCTGTGCAGTTTTTAAGTTTCTTTTTTTCCCCCAAGATGCTCTGCTTTCCTCCCACAGTACAGAAACAGGAAACGTTAGTGAGCTGGCTGTTAGCGTGTGGGTACCTTATGACAGGTACTCTGTCCACATGCTGCCGCATGACCTTTGCTTTAAGGATCACCATGACCTTAAGTGGAGAAGTGGTTCTTGTTATTTTAAAAATTACTGATAACATCCACCCTGCATCCCTTAAAATAATGCAAGTTCTGATGTCAGATTTTAGAAGATTTGGTGCTTACCTAACTGGCTTTATATCCATATGGACAATTTTGATGGGTATATTTAGAAGCTGCATTGTTTCATGTAATTTAACCAGATGGCAACCAGGTGGCTGTATTTTTATACCAAAGATTTAAGCCAAGGGTCACCTGCAGAGTTTATAATACACAATACCTATATGTTTATGCAACACGCAGTCATGAATTGACTAAAAATGCATCCCTGCAATCGTTCCCTGCATGCAGTTTATTTATTCTATTCGTAAGAATACAGAATAATCTCAATCATATTTCCTTTTCCAATTTTGCAGTAGCCTAAATGATTGCGCGTTATGTATGAAATTTAAGACTGAAATTACCAAGCTCCTACTCTTGAATCTGTACGATTGCTGTACTTTCGGAGTGATTTAAGGACACTCGGTGCCACCCAGTGGCCAGCTCCTACCACGGCAGGTTAACAGGCTGAATCTGCGCATGCGTACCCAAGCTGCATTCTGACCTTTTACCACGTGTTCTTTCCCGCGACCAGGAATGCGCGCTGTTGTTGGACCTGCATCCCTTCAGGGGAGGTGGATGTGATAGAAGCGGGAAGCAGCGAGCCGCTTTGCAGATATCACAATGTCTAAACAAAGCAGCATTTTCAACTTCTTCACCAAGTCTCCACCCTTGGTTAGTAAAGTAAAACCCAGCCCGTCTCCTACAGAAGCGGACCTGCCGTCTTCCGTACCCAAGTCTAACAGTTCTCCGAAAGAGGATGCGAAGCAGGCGCCTTTACAGAACACTAAAAAACCCCAGCAAAAACTGGGCAAAACGCCGGCTAAGGGAGGCCTCAGCGGTTTCTTCTCTGAGAAAAAGTCTTCAGATAAAGAAAGGTAATGGGTGAGATTGACACAATGCTTCTTGTTTGGGGTTTCAAATTGACAAGATATGAATATCCGTAATATGGATATATTTGTAATATCTGATGCTTTGCAAGTTTTGTTTTGCACTTTTGACGGACTATCTTATTGTAACTTTGCAGATATTTATCGGTGCCATATTTAAACAATATCTCGCCTTAAACATAAATGTGCGTCATGTTTTGTGGATCTGTGGACTCATCCCGGCTGCCGTATTTATATCGAGTGAAGTAATATAGTTAAAGAGCCGCTGTGTTCCTCCCCACGATAAAGCTGTACAGCCTGTGTTCAGTGGTTTGGCGAGGGTCGCGCCTGCGCAGTAGTGTGGCGGGAAGCCGCGATACCTGACACCAGCTCGCGCGAGGCTCGCCCCCCCTCCGATCTGGATTCTCTTTTGTACCGTTGGATAGTCGTTGGTTACTCGGAAGTGACCCTATCCTCTCCGAGTTTTGTTTGTTTCGTGCGGCAAAAAAAAAAAAAATATTACTTTGTCAGAAAATGTGCTTGTGAAACATTAATACATTGACAGTTTATAAAGCGTGGAACAGCAGTATAATTCTCTGGACCCCGTATTGTTAGCAATATACATAACGGGCGACCTGTGCGCTCCGTTCCTGCCATTCTATGCCAGTCATTAACAGAGGTACCCGTAACCCCTCCCACAGCTCAGCATGCACATTCACTGCCGGTAGCCTGGTATGGACCAAGCTGGAAGGGCACCCCTGGTGGCCATGCATGGTGGTGCCCCAGCCTCTCACGGGACAGCAGATGCGGGGCCGCGGTCGTGACCAGCGCCTGCACGTCCATTTCTTCGATGAACCTCCGACTCGGGGGTGGGTCAGTGTTAAATATGTCAGGGATTACAAAGGTGAGTATTGGGGTCAGTGTCAGGGATGGCGTACTTGTGGGGGGGGGGAGTTAAGTTTTTAAAATGGGTGTTAGGAATATATAAGAATCTCTTCTGAGTGTTAATGTGGTTTTTATTTAATAATTTGTACAGGGTGCTGCGCAAAATGTCGGTAATGCAGTTGTCGCCTTGCCCTCACATCAGTGTCCCCGGTTCGTAGGTTCGGATAGTGCTGATGCGAAGAGTGGGGGCGTGTTCTTCAGCGGGAAACCGGTGATTCGCCGGGCGATGGAGCTGGCGGATCTCGCTCTGGCCGACAGTCCGCAGAAGCGATTAAAGATGGCCATCTGCATGGATCCTTCTGAAGATGAGGATGAAGAGGAGGATATGGAGGTTAGCTGTTCAGTTGGGTAGATCTGAAATTTCAGGCGTTTGTGTATTGTGGGAATTTATACAATCTATTCACAAAGCAGCTAAAGTTCAAGCAGTATATGGGTAGGTTATTCATAAGCTGGAAGTCATGGTAGTTACTGGTATATTAATGTGGACTAATTTGTATAATTTCCTCTATAAAGCTAGACAAGTCAACTCCGACTGATGCAGACATGACTGAGGGGGAGGAGGAGGAGGAGGAAGTGGTGAAGGCAAAATCCAGCCACCGCTCTTCCAAAAGGAGAGGAGGGGTTGAGCAGAAACCCAAGCGTCGGCGCATTATTGTAGCATCAGATAGTGATGGTTCTGATGAAGAATTCAAGCCAGAGCCCACAGTGAGCAGCAGTGAGGAAGATGAAGAGGCTAGCAGCGGAGTAGAGGAAGGAGAGGATAGCGAACCAGAACCAGAGTCAGAACTAGACAGCCCTGTTAAGCCCATCAAACGCAAGCGCCCTGCAGAGAAACCGACTAAAAGCAACCCCCCTTCCATGGGATGCCCCAGAAAAGCCCTTGGGTCTCCGTCCTTTGTCACAACTCAGACCAAGTCAAGGCTGTCAGCCTTCTCAGCTCCGGAGACCTTTGAGAGCCAGAACAGTGGTGCAGCTGGGGGTGCTGGTGAGGGAAGCACCGTATGGGACCATGAGAAGCTGGACTGGCTGCAGGATGGCAAGAGGAAGGACGCCAAGAGGCGCCGTCAGATAGAAGAGGACTACGACCCGACTACCTTGTATGTTCCCGAGGACTTTCTGAACAAATGCACCCCTGGCATGCGACGCTGGTGGCAGCTGAAGTCTCAGATGTTTGACACTGTTATCTTCTACAAGGTGGGAAAGTTCTATGAGCTCTACCACATGGATGCTGTCACTGCGGTCAATGAGCTGGGTATCACCTTCATGAAAGGCACATGGGCACACTCTGGCTTCCCCGAAATCGGCTTCGCCCGCTTCTCAGATGTCCTGGTGCAGAAAGCCTACAAGGTGGCCCGTGTGGAGCAGACTGAGACACCCGAGATGATGGAGGCACGCTGCAAAACCATGGCTCGGCCGACTAAGTTTGACCGCGTGGTTCGCAGGGAGGTGTGCCGAATCATCACCCGGGGCACTCAGACATACAGTGTGCTTGATGGTGCGCCTTCAGAGGCACAGAGCAAGTTTCTGCTGAGCGTGAAGGAGAAGGCAGAGGAGGAGACCTCTGGCTGTCAGCGTACGTACGGAGTTAGTTTTGTCGACACGTCGGTGGGCCGCTTCCATGTGGGCCAATTCAGAGACGACCGGCACTGTTCCCGTTTCCGCACCTTGGTGGCGCATTTCCCCCCTGCACAATTGCTATTTGAAAAGGGCAACCTGTCAGCAGAAACACGCAAGCTCATGAAGTCTTCTCTGGCCTCTGCCATGCAGGAGGGCCTCACACCAGGGGCTCAGTTCTGGGATGCCTCCAAGACCCTCAAGTTGCTTTCTGAGGAGAATTATTTTAAAGAGACTGAGACACAGGGTGAAGACGTTAATGTTCTCCCTGCAGTGCTCAAGGCCATGACCTCTGAGAGCGACTCTCTAAGCCTCACCCCAGGGGAAGGGTACGAGCTGGCCCTTTCTGCTCTGGGTGCCTGCATCTTCTACTTGAAGAAGTGCTTGGTGGACCAGGAGCTGCTGTCTCTGGCCAACTTTGAGGAGTACATCCCTGTGGATGTGGAAATGGAGCAGTCGGACAGCCCGTCCAAATTCTTCGCACAGACTCGCCAACGCATGGTTCTTGATGGGGTGACTCTAACCAACCTGGAGATACTTCAGAATAGCTCCACGGGTGGCTTGGAGGGGACTCTGCTAGAGCGTCTGGACTCCTGCTGCACTCCCTTTGGAAAGCGGCTTCTGAAGCAGTGGTTGTGTGCTCCACTCTGCAACCCCTCCTCCATTGAAGACCGACTTAACGCTTTGGAGGATCTGATGGGTATGCCGGCTGAAGCCAGTGAGGCCGAGGAGCTGCTGAAGAAGCTCCCGGACATGGAGAGGCTACTGAGTAAGATCCACAGCATGGGGACACCCCTGAAGAACAAGGACCACCCTGATAGCCGAGCAGTCCTCTATGAGGAGATCACCTACAGCAAGCGAAAGATTGCTGACTTTCTGTCAGCCCTGGAGGGCTTTAAGACCATGCAGCAGATTGTGTCTGCCATGGAGCCAGTGGCAGAGACCTTCCGGTCCAAGCTGCTCCGCCAGGTGGTGATCCAGAAAGCCAAAAATGAGGAGAGCCTCTTTCCTGACCTCTCGGCAGAACTGAGGCGCTGGGACACGGCCTTCGATCACCAGAAGGCCCGCAACACTGGCGTCATCAGCCCCAAGAGTGGCTTTGACCCAGATTATGACCAAGCACTGACTGGCATCAAGGACTGTGAGCGAGTCCTGCAGGAATACCTGGACCGGCAGAAGAAGCGACTGGGTTGCAAGAGCCTGACATACTGGGGCACAGGGAGGAACCGGTACCAGTTAGAGGTGCCTGACAGTGTGCAAGAGCGGAACATTCCTGAGGAGTATGAGGTCAAGTCTACAAAGAAAGGCTGGAAGCGGTACTGGACCCCAGAGATCGAGCGGCAGTTCTCAGAGCTACAGAGCTGGGAGGACCAAAGGGATTCTGCCCTTAAGGACTGCATGCGCAAACTCTTCTACAACTTTGACAAGAACTGCAGAGACTGGAAGATGGCTGTGGAGTGCATGGCAGTGCTGGGTAAGAGGAAACAAGCACCAGTGCTTATAGGCCGGATTTCTCCTTCACAGCTTAGATGTGCATTTCGACACTGACCCAAATACAACCACTGACAGCAGGTGGAAAGTCATGTGATCACACACGCAGTTTTGCACCAGATGACTAAGGCAACTGCAGGCAGTTGCTGTTTACAGTGAATACATTTTGAGCGGTTTACCCCTGAAGATCTGTTTTCTGTTCTCAACATTCACTGCAAGAAACA